AACCCCCCATGATTGTACTGAAATTGTCTTTTCTTGAGAGTTAAGCGGAAACGGCGGCACGGCAGCAGAGCTCGGGGCGGGGGGAAAGGAGAAGTTCAGCGACGGTGAGAAACGGGACCGGTTTTGAGCTGGTGAGTGGGTTTTTTTAACCATTTTGCAATAGTTATTTTAACCAAAAATCCCTTTTTCCACGGTTTGGGGGTGAGGCTTGCAAGCGATTTTACCGATTTTTTTCCTTTTTTCGGGATTTGCACGTCATTAATAGGCAAAAAATGGGAGCGTGGAGCCTCCGGATCCCCCCGGAGCTGCGTGAGTTCATCCGGCTCTCGAGCGGCAATTTTGAAATGTACTTTTCTCTCTTTTTTTTTTTTTTTTTAACGGGCGCATTGAAAAGTGGAAACAGGGGGAAAAAATAATGCTGAAGTCAGCAGTTCCAGGACTTTTCGCAAATCCAGTAGTTGGAGTGGGAGCATCTGTCGTCGTTCCAGATGCCGTCGGGCCCGATGCTGCCGCAGTCCTTCTGGTCCTTGTCTTTGTTCTCCTTCCACGTGTTCCAGTAGCTGGAGAAAGGAGGAGGAAAACGAGGGGAAGAAGGAAAAGGGAAAAGAGTAAAGAAATAAAAACGAGCCCCACGGCAGCGGAGCGCTCTCAGGAAGAGGTAAAATTTGTATTTCGAGGGAAGGAAACCACTAAAAAGCTCCGTTTTTTTTTTTACCACCGGCAAGGAAACGCTCTGATACTACCATTTTCTCCAAGTCAGCCCTTTGACTTACGTAAAACTACCAAAACCCAAAGTTTCGGTGGGTCAACTTCACCTTTTTCCATTTATTTTCTGGTTATTTTCCAGTTTTGGGGAATCCCCGGAGGGAATTTTTACCTAATACTTGTATAGTCGCCGTTAGTCCAGACCCAGTTGCCTTCCTCCACCTGATCCGTCACACCCAGCCAGTACGTGCTGCTGTTGTTAATATTGTCCTTCAGGAAATTCTAGAAAAGCAGAATTGGTTAAAACAGCCCCAAAACAGTAATTCCGGTGGACTACGGAGCATCTCGAGGCTTTCGGCAATTAGGGTGAGGTCATCGCCGTGATATCTGAGCAGTGGTTTTTGGCAAATAGTGAACAATTTGGGTGTGTTTGGGTATAAACATCTCCGGAAAGGAGATGTTGACCTTTTTTTCTCCATTTTTAGCACTTTTTCCTAAAAACGGGAGGTCATAGTCGACTGAACTCGACTTGGCCATCGGCGCTTCTCTCCACCTCCAAATAACTCGGAGCGCGATGGCCAATCTCGGCTAATTTGAGCCCAAACCAGAGGTTTTAGAGTTCCTGTGTTTGCCAGAGCAGGAATTCTCCGAGAAAATGGGTATTTTGGGCACCGTGTAAGCCGAGAAACTGGTTATTTTTCACTCCGACTGACCTGCTCCGGCTCCGAGTTGATGACGACCAGGTGAGCGCCTTGGTCGGTGCAGATCTCCTTCGCGTCCGACCAGCTCATCGTCTCAGTCGAGAAGGAGTAGCAGCTTTTCTCGAAGATCTTCCAGCCGGCCGAGCACTTCTTGCTGTCCAAGACGGATTTGCAGATCAGCGCTGGAAGGACGAGAAACCCCCCCCCAAATCCAGGCGAAAATCAGGTCGGTTTGGGTCTTTTTTCCTCAAAAAAAACATTTTGAGATGGTGACATCTCAAAATCGGCATAGATCACCCAACTTTTCCGTCCCTAAGACCAGTGTGGTCTTTCTGGGCTAAAACCAGGAGGTTTCTCTCCTGGCGCACGACGACGAGAGACCGTCGAGATGGAGACCGCGGCTTTACCTGCGATGTCCTGCAATTCCTCGTAGTATTTCTGCATCCCGCTCCGCATCCGCGTCTGTTCCCGTTGCGTCTCCGACAGCCCCTGCCGCACTGGGGAGCGCAGCGGGGTGAGCGATGGCCGCCAGCCCCGTCCCCTCCCCGACTTGTTCCTGCTTCTCCCCTCCGGTTTACCCAAATCTTGAGCTTTTTCCCCCAGGATTTATCACTTTTCCACGTGTGGAAATCTCAATCAGGGCTGCAAAAGCTCTTACACCGCCGCCCGCCGGCTTTGCTGCATGGTTTTCTTTTTCTCTTTGGGTGACATTTTGCTGCAATATCACTCATAATATAATTTAATTAATCGCTCATTTGGCAGCGGTTAAGGATTTGGCCCATTATATTTGACTTTTGCAGAATTTTCTGTAGGATTTACGTCTTTCCCTTCCCGTAACGTTCAACAGAGATAATGGGGTGGATTTTCCCCCCAGTAAGATCCTAATCAGGATGAATCCCGTGATATCCCAAGGGCTGATTTGCTCCTATTTGCGCTCTTTTGGGGCTAATTCCTTCGGGATCGGGGCATGAGCTCAGTCGGTGTCCGATCGACACCACTACCCCGGTGTAATTCCCGGTGGAAATCAGAAACAAGTCAGTCGAAGTCGGCGTTGCTTCACTAAGAGACAGAGCAGAACCAGGAGCCGCTCGAAAAGACAATTTGATTTTTGTCCTTAATTTACACCAAAAGGCAAAACCGGTGCCAGAAAAGGGCCAAACACCACAAAATCAGTGTCTCCCAACAGCCGTTAAACTTCACCGCGGGGATGTGAGTCCGAGGACCTACCGTTGGCTTGATTCTCCGTGTAGTTTGACCTCAAGAGCTTTAACTCTGCCATGATTTCCATCTCTGAAATGAAAACGAAAGAAAAAACCTGGCTGGATCACACCGAGGAATCGCGAGCGGCGTCTAAATTTGCCCAATTGATGGCTTTTTTTGGGCCGAGTGGGGAATTCCAGGGTGGATTTACTCTGGATTTACACCCTGTAGCAAATGGGCGGTGCTGCTGGCGCAGGCAGAAGGAGGCAGCACCCAGATGTAGCGCACTGGGGGCAATTTGGTGATAAAACCCTAAAATTCCCATGCCGAGGTGGAATTAAAACCAAATGGTGACGACGGACGGGCTTTAGCTGCAGTTTCCCCGTGGACGGACATTTAAAGCATCGCGGGCACAAGCCGTGTGTTATTTTTAACAGTGAAAATGCTTTTTTTGGGGTGTTTTAAGCAAACCAGCTGCTTCCCGGCCCGGCAGGGACCCTTCCGGGTACACTTACGCTTCACCATGGCCAGCGCGAAGAGCAGCACCCACGCGATGAAGCTCAGCGCTACCAGGATGTAGAGGATGGCCACCGACGTCATCCTGCGGCTCTGTCCCCTGCCACCTCTGGACTCCGGGTCACCTGCGGAGAGCAGCGCGGAAGAAACTGGGGAGGAATCCCAGCTTCCCGGGTCTGGATCCGGCCGAGGCCTCCGCTGCGGGATAGCGGCATCGGTCGAGAGTGACTCACCCTTTTGGGAAGGATTTAGGGATGCCGGTTTCCCTGCCAGGATGTAAACCCCTGTTGGGAGGAAGGAAAGAGTCACCGGGGGATGTTTTTGGGGCATTTTAGGGCCAAATCCTGCCCCACGGAGGTCCTTGACCGCACAGGCGGCGCGGGGAGAGGAGGTGGGTGCTACCTGTGCCTCCTTTGCTCCTCTGGCTCTGCAGATCTTCATCGGCCGCTGGCAGCTTGTGGCCACGATCCGACTCCGACAGGGACACATCATCATAATCATCCTCGAAGCTGTCCGGGGACGCTACGCGAGAGGAAAAAACCAGGTGAAAATCAGGGTTTTACACCAACTGGGAATCCCAGCCATTAACGATCAGCTCAGTCCTTCAGAAAGCGTGAAAAATCATGGAATCACAGGATGGTTTGGGTTGGAAGGGACCCTGAAGATCACCCGGTTCCAAATCGCCCCCTGCCATGGGCGGGGACAGGGCCGCCTTCCACTAGACCAGGTTGCTCAAAGCCCCGTCCAACCTGACCTTGAAGACTTCCAGGGATGGGCCAATGCAATTTCCCTTCCCCTTCGGTAAATCCACAGCACCTCTGGCAAAGTTTTTATTCCCTTTTCTCAATAT